TCTATTAGAATGATGCATTTGTCATTCCTAAGGAATGATTATTTTATTATTCTATTAGAATAATTCCTTTATCGTTCTAATAGAATGATTCTTTTATCATTCTAAAAGAATAATTCCAACCGAATAATAATTGAATTATTTGACTAGAATGAAATTTTATCATTCCAGTCGAATGATAAAGCAAAAATCATTCGATTAGAATAATTATATTATTTCAAATTGAATAATAAATAAAGAATCATTCAATGAAACAATTATATTATTTTAATTAAACAATAAAATAAAAATCATTCTAAATCGAATAATAAAACAAAATTTATTTTAAATTGAACGATAAAACAAAAATTGTTTTAAATTGAATGATAAGTAAAGAATCGTTCAATTAGAACAATTATATTATTCCAATCATATGATAATAAAAATATAATTTTATTAATAAATTATTTCCAATTTACTTTAAATCTTATATTGATTTAATATATTTTCAAATATACTATTTGAGTTTATTTTTGATATATATAGGAATATTTATATAAATAAGCTTAATTTTTTCACTTTTTAAAAAATAATTTCAATTTAAACTTTATTTTTTACAATCATTTCAAAATTTTCTCCTTTTACATTAAACCAAAATACTGAAAAAAAATCGTCTTAAGAACAAAAAGACCTTAAGTTAAATTTAGTCAATTTTTCTGATTTTTTTTTACTTTTTATAATAGAAATATATCTTGAACTATCAAATCAAATGTTACTTAAGTTAAATTTAGTCAATTTTTCTGATTTTTTTACTTTTTATAATAGAAATATGCCTCTATCTATCAAATCAGATGAAACTTAAGTTGAATTTTAGTCAATTTTTCAAAAAATATACAAAAACAAACTGATTTTTTATTTTTTTTAATAAAAACATGCTACTGTTAAGCCTAAACATTATATCATTAGGATAACAAGCTTATTTACTAACAGGGAGTTTAAGTTATAAACTATGAATGAAATAAACATGAATTTATTTAAGTTGAAGGGTCAGGTCATCTTTATTGATGATTTATATTTTAAGAAAATAGATATTGGCAAAGATATAGTTTTTATGTTGTTAAGATTATACTTTATTAATTGTATAATAGAAATTTATTAGTTTGTCAAGGCGATAATGCAGGATATTTATATAAAATACAATTATAAAATATAGATAATAAATATAATAGTGAAAATAAATATAACTATGAAAATAAATATCACAACGATAACCGTGATAGCAGTGAAAATGATGATCACAATTTTCTAATAATTATTAGTGACATTAGTTAGCGCAGTCATTTAGTGGCGTAAACGAATTATTACTAACACTACTAACCATCAAAATTAGACAAAACTTAAGTTGAATTTTAGTCAATTTTTTAAAAAATATACAAAAAACAAACTGATTTTTTTATTTTTTATAATAGAAACATGCCTCTAATTATCAAAATCAGATGAAACTTAAGTTGAATTTTAGTCAATTTTTCTGAATTTTTTACTTTTTATAATAGAAATATGCTTTTAACAATTAAAATTAGATGAAATTTAAATTGAATTTTAATCAATTTTTCTGATTTTTTATTTTTTTTCAAAAATGACAAAATTACTATAATGAATATTCAGAACAATTTAAGGGAATTTTAGAGGAAAATAGATTATATTTTTATTATTTTACATGGTTTTTCTGTTTTTTTTTTGCTTATATTTTTTAAATAGAAAATTAATCAGTGAGTTTTGGTAATATTTATATTATGTTTTTGCAAATTATATTAGGTTTTATTATTAATAAAATTTTAATATTTAATAAATTTAATAAATATAATATATTGATTTAATATACTTATTTGACCGAATTGATACTAAGTTGAAACCAATTTTAGGTTAATTTATAGTTATTTAAATTTCGAATTGATGCTGAATAATGCTGAATTGAGATTAATTTTAGGCTGATTTATGGTTATTTAAGTTTTAAATCGATACTGAATTCTATGTCTGATTAGAGTTAATCAGCATTTATTAGCATTTGAATTATTGCTGAATTAAGGCCAATTTTAGACTGATTTATGATTGAATTTAAGTATTGAATTAATGCAAATAGCCATATCTAATTGGAATTGATCAATATCTATTGGCATCTGTTTGTATCAATCAGAAAATATGAAAAATCAGCTATAAATAGTATTAAGATTGACCTAAAATCAGCCATCCAATTTTTAGCTGATTTGAACTATTTCAATTAGTGTTTGGAAATTAAATTTAAATTAGTTTGGTTAAATGAATTTCTTGAAATTTTTTTTTGTTGATTTTTTATTATTATCACGCTTGTTAAATAGCTGATCAATTATATAAATGATAATTAACTAAGAAAATACAAGATATATTAAGAAATTTAATGAAAAATCTATAATAACTTTCTCATTTTCTATATAATAAGCTATATAGTAGATATTCAAATTTCTTTATTTAAAGCAAAAATGAAGTTTATTAATAAATAAATTTTTTATATATATTTAACATCAATTGATTAATCAATACATATAATCTAAATAAAAGCTTAGGTAAAATCTGATTATTACATCCAATCTGAATCTAAAATCTAAGCAATATTAATTACACCTTAACAAAAAATTTCTGAAATATCCAATTGAGTTTGATACTGCCTAAATCTGAAATTCAATCCAAATTATTTGAAATTCTCTAAAATTTAATTATTCATATAAAAATTAAATATATAAAATTATTGGTAAGATAAATATTAATGCATTTACATCTTACAAATTGTAAGCTAATTCAACTACTTTAACTGATAATACTTTATTATCTTACTCAGGTAATCAATCACTAGAACTAATTAAAAAAATTGATACTTTATTATTTCTAGAGAGAGTGTTAACTCTAATGGATTTGAAATATAGTAACGGGAGTAGAGGTAATTTTAAAATTTTGTTTTTTGAATGCTATATCTTGATTGTATGTATTCTTTTTGAATTCAAATAACCTAATTACAGTACTTATCATTAAATCTAAAAAAAATATAATTTATTACCTAAATGAAAAGTTGGTAAGAAATCTAAATCAATAGTTTAAGGAATATATATTCAACAAGAAAAGAAAATTTTAAAAGATCATTGGAATGCAACATATAATTTTTATTAATATTTTAGTTTTTAAATATGAAATTTTTATTTTTAGATGTATCAAATTAATAAATAATAAATTATATACTAATTGTATATTATGATTAATATAGCATATTAATTAGCCTAATTTATTAAAATAGCAACTTTAATGCATTAATAAATAAATTTTTGTAATTAGTTTATATTATATTAATTTATTAATTTTTAGCATTAAAAGTTTAAAATCAGTATTTATTTTAATTTTCTAACTAGATTTGAAAGGTTTTGTAAGTATTGACCAGTTTTGTTGAAATATCATCTAGTTTTGCCAGTTTTATCTTAGTTTTAAATTATCAGAAAGTTTCAGATTTTCATTCTTAAAAGCTGAAATATTTCGATCTTAAGATTTTAGTTTCATTAGCAAATTATTTGTTTAAAAAGTTTTAATACTATATCAGGTCTAGATTGCTAAATTGTTCTTCCTGAAGTTGAGTTTTTCTTATTTTAACTCTTTGTTTTCACACTTTTTTTTAATTTGCTAGTCAAATCCTCTTTTGAAATCTTACTTGATGAAAAATGAAGCTTAGATTATTTTATTAATGATGATATATTTGCATGTATTTTTAGATCTAGTTTGTTGAAAAGATCTTCAACTTATTGTTAATATATAACAATATAATAAATATAATTTTAATAAAAATTATAAATATTAGGAAAGATGATATAATAATGGACTATTATAAATGCAGAATTGAGCAAATTCTTTAAGAAAATTTCTATTTTAATATAGCAATTCATTTAAACTAAAATTATTTGTAATTCAATTATTTCTATTATCTTCTAAATTCTAAACAAATCACAATTCTAAATCAGAAGATGAAGAGTTTCAAGATTTTTGAAAATAATATAATAAAAGCTAGATGTAAATAATTGTGTATTATTTCCTCCAAGCTGACAAACTACTAATGGTAAATAAAGCCATAGTGAAAACTATTTTTGAAAAGATTTTAAGACTTTTGCAATTCTATACTCTAAACCATTAAAGAGAATCTCAAAATCTTTATTAGATAACTAATCCATAGTCTCCAAAAGCTGATCTAAAAAAAACATGTTAAAGTTGCTAGTAAGGTTTTGAATAAATCCATAATATTCAAAAATTTTATCAGACATTTCATAAGTACATCACTTTAGAGGCAATGCAATTAATTGTTCATCTTTATATAATCATGAAATATTATCTTATCTTACTATAAATTGCATTAGAGATTCATAAAATGCTTAACAAAGTTAACTAAACATTTAACTTGAATATTAAGTTTTGAATCAGAAAGTCAAGATTTGTAAATATACTAACCACTGAGGTAAGATTTAGGTGCTTTTTTATAGTTTTTAATTTATTAATAAACTAATCTATAAATTTAATATGAGCAGAATGATGATTAAGATACTGCTTAGCTATTCATAATTTATAATCCTAATAAAATTGAAGAGGTAACTGATATTGATTGTAATGAAATTACAGTAGTTCATCATATAATTCTTGAATAATATGAGCATTTATGTTAAGTGGCTTGTCTTTGTCACTTGAATTATAACTATTATGAAGCTTCCATGCTAAATAAAGTAAATTGTATACATGAGATTTTCTTGAGAAACCAGTATTATTTGAAATTGTTTCAAATGCTTCTTGTTCAAAATTATTAAGTACAATTTGAATAATGTGAAGTCCACAGCCAATTCAAATTGCTACCTTTTTTTTTTAAAAAGAACAATAGCCCCTCTTTTCACCAGACATATAGGTTGTATTATCCGTCACCCATAATGCATATTTAGCAAAATCTAAACCATCTTGTTGTATATATTTTATAATATATCAGATAAAGTATTCACATTACAATTAGAAATATCTTCAAGATGAGCTACATTTAAAACTGGTATTTGATCCTTTTGATTCCAAAGTTGATAGCATAAAAAAAAGTTTTTTGCTTCACCTCGTGTTGATTCATCAACTAAGATTCCAAATGATGGAGCATTAATTGCCTGATGGATTTGAGTATCAATATGTAATTTAGAAATGTCTTGATGCCAAGTACACAATGTTGATACTGTTAACCAATTTTGTGATGGCTCTCTAACTAGAAATTCTTAGATTAACTGCATACATTTTACAATAGAACGTAATGATACTTGACCAAATTGCAAGATACTAGTTGCAAGCCAAACAGCATTGGTTGTGTATTCTCGTTTATTTATTTGAAAAATAGATTTTAATTGCTTCTGAAAAGTTGTATCTGTGTGATGAACCAATGATTGAATTTTAGATATACGATTTGCATTTTGGTTGCAAAAATGCATATTTTGTACCCCAAGAGATTGTGTTTTTCTAATTAAAGTTTGATTTTGCCGATGAAGTTTTCTGCAATCAATCTTTAGTTTTGTATTGGATATTTGTAATTCTTGATATGTGGATTTGTTCTTATAAAAAGTTTGAGTAATATTCTCTTATGCTTTGTTTTGAAGATAGGTAGAGATAATTTTGCCTTCGTTTAGATCTTTAGGTATCGCATAGTTTTAATAAGATGATTTGCGGCAAGGACTTCTTTCCCAGATAATTGTTGAACTGAAGAAATTAAATTAATTTGTTCTTTGCTCGATTCTGGCAGCTTTGTTATAAGATTCAAAGTATTGTCAAGTTTTTGTTCATTCATCTCATTTATAATGTCATTAATTTTTCTTTTCTTATCATTTTTCTTCGCCTCTAACTTTTTAGCCTGCATTTCACGATCTTTTTTAATTGACGAGCACGGCTTGAAATTGGAGGCATTTTCCCGGTAAAAAATCCTAAATTTTTAAAATTCGATAACTTTGGTTTTAAATTAGCATTCAAACAAATTAAACTGCAAATGATTATAATATTACTTGAAAAATAATGTGACACCTTTCTTAAAAAAAACAAAGAAAAAATTTTTTATTGGTAATGTTTATAAAAAATGTATACAAAGGCTTATTTCGCAATGAATTTTATTTTAAAAAAAGGGAAACGTGTCATTTGAAAGTGATAGTTATTCAGAATATCTTTGCTGAATTTCAAGTGAAAATCACGAGAAGAATTCAAAGTTATGGAACGAAAGAAATTTAACGAATTAAATAAGAAAATTTTATAAAATAGTTTAATGTAGTTTAATACGAAAAAAAATTCAATAATAAAAATTACTATAGGACTTGATATAGTTTTGTTAAACTATACTGACAACACACCCCAGTGTCACACGGGTAGTGGATATTCGACCGCTACGCTTGGGAGGATAGACCGGTGTTTGAAATAAAGCTACTGGATCTTTAGTTATGGTCTGGTAAATCTTGTAGTGTGATAACTCTATATCAGAACCAAAAACTTGTTAGATAACACTTTAGCTCATTACTTTAGTAATTTTTTATATATAAATTCTTTTGGATCTAAAATTTTGAAATAAAAGATCATAAAATAAAGTAGTTATGGCTCTTCTTTCTTTCTTTCTTTCTTTCTTTTTTTTTTCTTGCGATAGTAAAAGTTAAAAAATGCATTAACACGGACCAATTTTTTTATTAAAAATAAACAAATAAATAAAAAATAAATAAATACCTTATTAAACTTATAACCCTTAATATTTCAAAAAACCTACACTTCTAACGATTAAATCGGTGCGCAGCAATTTTGATTGGTCATTTTCCGTAACGTTATTTTAATAGCAAATCCTTCCAATTGTGAGGTTTAATTTTTTATCCTTGTAATAACGCCGCTTTGAATTTGGATATTGAAAAGTAGTAAATTTCAAATTGATGCAAACTTGTGATAGCGTATTAAGTTGTAAATTAAATTTCATGTTTTTTTGATAATTAAATAGTTCACATTGAAATTAACAAAAATTTTTTTCTAAATTTTATTTATTTAGAAAAAATTATTCACTACGTTTCGAAGTTCAAATTAACGGGCATCAGTTGAAAATCAGATATTCGAATGGAGAAATTTTTTATTCATTTACTTAATTTTATCCTCTTACAGCTTCTGAAAAACTATCACATTTATCGAAGAGAGAATAATTCGTTTCCAAGAAAGAAAAAGAAAATTTGATGAAAGTAAAATCAATTTTTTTTTTTTAAATAGATGTGTAATTTTCTAAATACAAATATTAGAGTAGAGTATAAATTACTAATATTTTTCTACTTAAAGATATGGCACAACTCAAACGAGCGAAAAAAAAAAGTATCTTAACTATTTTCAGGATTCTGTCCCACAAGCTGAATGTAAAGATATTTTCCTTAGTCATGATATAACGATAGATGGAAGTATCGCACGTTAAATTTTTAAAATAAATCAAAGTTAAAAATCTAACAAGCAATAAATTTGATATTTTTCAAATGTAAATTAATAGATGATCAAATTGCTTCAGTGGTTTGTTATCCTCAAAAGTATTAAAAATGTTTGAGTTTAATGCTTTTTATTTTAATAAGATTCTGAAAATACTGTTTCGTAATATAAATTATTACGCACGCTAAAATCAAATGCTCACGTGGACATTATTCGAACATTCCAATTTACTTTTTTTCTTTGTTCATCCTAATTAAAGATATGGAGAATGAAAATGGTGCGGTGGAAAAAATTTTGAATGAACTTCAGTAGCAATGCCAAAAAGTTTAAAGTCAAATAATTTACAAGGAATCATGAAAAAGCTTATAAACGATGCAATAGCGAAAAAAATATCTATCAAATTATTTTTACTGTATAAATGAAGTTAATGTGTCATTGATTCTACAATTTGGTGAGGTATGAAAACATTTTTTATAAGCGACTAAGGCAGGAATTTTCTTTGTTTGACTACAATACAATAAAACAGACTCAACGTTTTCATGCTGCGCCGCATCGTTAATTCATTTCATATGCCAAAAAATACTGCTATTTTTTGAAATCTACTCGACTTTAACAAAAGTGATTCAAAAGTAGTTTATTTTAGTAATCCAAATTGATCAGAATTTTTCTTTTCGTGTGGAACATTCAAGAAAAAATTGTCTTGGCGTTGAAATTTAAATGTTACACGTGCATTTTTGTTTTTTGGTTTTGGTTTTTTTTTTCGCTTTTCTCCAAGAATTCTAGTTCTTACGATATA